TTCCAATAAATTCTCTTACTGTTTCTACTGATTGATATACATTGTCTTAAAATGTACTATAAGATACAAGTAATTGACAAAAATAGTATAGATAAATATACAGTTCGATTCGTAGGAAGAACTCAAGAAAGTTATTTAGTTCGGAATGATTCTTTATCAGAAAAATCCTGAGCAAACTTCACGGAAAAAGGAATAAAAAAACATACGTTCGCAAATTTTAAAAAGCTGACATAAAAGAAAAAAATTGCAACAAACTGAAAAAGAGTTTAAAAGTTAAAAAAAGGGGCCAGAAACCAGTTAACAAATTGGAATTTCTCTCGATGGCGGATCTAGGGTTTTTAGCTTGTGCGGCAATTGAATGGAGATTAGGGGCGATCATGATCATAGAACGTGTTTTGAAGCTCATAAAAGATAGTAAAAGCTCATTTTTAAGCTTCTTCTACTAGAAGAAACTGAGAATAAACTTTTACATGGAAGACAATCACCCCCAACACTTCTTAAATCAGCTCTTATTTCATTGGAAAAATCGAAAAATCTACCGACACCATCGAGTGTGCACGTAATAAATAGTTATATTTCAATTTCATTCAGACTGAAAAAGGCTTGAAATTGGACAAAGTCTCAAAAGTAAAAAACAATGAGAAAATGGAAAAGTATTCACAAAAAACTAAAAATTCTAAATTTTTGCTGGCATATTGGAAGAGCTGGCATCTTCGAATAGCTTTGATAGTGAATAATAACGAATTCTTCGCCACTGGTAAACATTATGGCTAAGTTAAGTTAGAGCAAGCGATATGCTCCATGTTAGAGTGTTGATCTGCAAGCATCCAGTGAAATCTGAAGCAGATGTTACTCCAAAGTTTACCGTGACTATAAATGTTCTTAACTACAGCACGCGCAATCAAATATTATAACGATTTCTAGGACTCAAATTTGAGAAAACGACAAGACCGCAGTGGTATACGTAGGAGGTTGAAAAAGGCTGATCCTGATAAAAAAAACAAGTGTTTCGAATTCCACTAACAGTGATATCGACTCATTTTGTGATCATTTTCTAATTAGAAAAAACAAAAAAAAATATTTCGAAAAGTAAGGTAAATTGGCAATCAATGCTTGCTCTAACTGGCCTTCTGAATGAGTCACTGACCTTTCTCAATACTTTTTAATGTAAATTATGCCAAGCGCTTAAATATAAGAAAAAATGAAGCACTCCCATGTCGCTCAAAGCGCTCGAAAACTGACGGTTAACTGCGGTTAACCATCAAGTTAACTGGGAGCTTGACCGTCCGGTTAACCGCGGTTCGACAGCTAAACGTTTTCTCACATCACAAAGGGTGAATATTTTTAAACTCTTACAAAACCGTTAGAATTATGTTGAAATCCTCGCCCCTTACATATGCAAACGCGCTGAAGCCGCCAGTACCAGTCACATCTACTATATTCGCCTAGTTTTCGAGTTTAGATTTTTATGAAAGATGGCACCATAAAAATAGTTATTCGTCAGATAACTTAACCAATACAAAAAACAATGGCTCCATCTGACAGAATTTTACTGTTGCATAATTATCTAGACTTTTTCGAGTTGCAACCGATTCTTTTAAGACTAAAAATATTAATTTAGAAGAAAAATTATTAAAAAATTGATAAACAAACAGAAACCGCTTCAAACCGGCGATTTTCCTATGAGCTGCCGGTAACCGGCGGTTTTGATGAAAAATTGACGAGATGGGCTTTCAGCGATTTTCATGTAAAGTGGTGTAAAGTTCTTAGAAGTAACAAAGGTCACAGTACTTATCAGCGATTTTCATGATAAGAGCTTAGAATGTTTGAAAAATCGTTTTATAAGCTACGTTAACCCAGTCAAACAAAAATTTTGAAAAACGTGTTTAAACGCACAATCGGGAACCGCGACTGTGATCCATTAACGCTCACTAAAAAAAACGCATGGAAACGCGTTTATTGGCGTGTTTTGTAACTTTCTGGGCGTCAAAACGGCGAAAATTCCAGTTTTTGAGCGTTAAAACGTATTGTTTTTAAGTTCTAGAATAATAGTGCGTTTTAACGCTCAAAAGCTGGAATTTTCGCCATTTTGACTCTCAGAAAGTTACAGAAAACGCCAATAAACGCGTTTTCGTGCGTTTTTTTAATGACCGTTAATGGCTTACAATCGCGGTCCCCGATTGTGCGTTTAAACGCGTTTTTCAAAATTTTTGTCTGACTGGGAAGCGGCTTTTCTTAGCGAAGTAATTTTCAGAAGTTTGAAATGGATGTACTTCGGCGCTTTACAGTAGCTTACTGCAGGGTTAGCTTTTTAAGCTGGTGAGAAATAGCTTACAAAGCCAAAAATTTGCACATGGGTGTCGTTTTAACATATGAAAGATAACAGCATTTTCAAGTTTCCAAAGATAAAAGTTTACAGTAGTTTTCAACGCTTTTCATGAAAAGTGCTGGAAAGCGCATAAAGGAATAAAAGACTACAGTACTTTTCAGCATTTCTCATGATAAGCGCCACAAAGCGCTTAAAAGCATAAAAATTTACAGCACTTTTCATGATGAGCGCTGGAAAGTGCTTATCAAAGCGCATTGTAAGCGATATTAAGCGGCTTAATTGGTTGAAGCCGCTGGCAGTAGCTTAAGACCGTAATGTTTAAGCGCTTTAAAGCACTTGATTGAAGTGTAAGCTTATTTAAACCGCTTCAAAGTAGCTTACAGAGCTCGCATCCCACCAACACTTTGTAAAAAAAAGAGGAAAAAAGAGGCACAGCATTCTTGGAAAAAAGAGGAGAAAAAGCGGCATACAGTTTTTGTCCGAAGAAAACTAAAACCCATCGGCACAATAGTAGTATAAATCCAATAAAACTCGTACGTTATCAATACAGATTGAATATGACTTGAAAAAAGTAAAAAAGAAACGAAACTTCCACTTGTTCATAGAGATGTTTGTGCAATTGGTTATGTATGCATTAGAAAACGGGAAAACATTAGAAAAATAGTCTATTCTATTTGCGTATTATCTGGCTATAATATTACTCTATCTGACTAAGTAGGCACACAGAAATAGAAACGATCAGAATTCATAAAATGTCTTTTTTGCTTTTTGTTCGTTTTTTTCAGATGACTGCACATGTGAGAAAGGTATTTTTTTCGTTTTTTGCAATTTCCAGCAATTCTTCCATGATTTTGATCGTTTTTCTCAAGTCAGTTTCACTTTTCCGTTTCCCAGCGTAAATTAATACATTGGTTGCAATGGTATCCAGACAGCGAGGTTTTGAAAAATTGTTTGGCCCCGTGCTATCGAAAACGCTTGATTTTTCCCAGTGAAATATGGTGATATTTCTGCGTTCTGTAGAAAAGGACTTATTTGTATTGGGTAGATTATATGATTCCCTGCTTTTTGGTCATCGAGGCGCCCCGTTTGTCGCTATCGCATTCCATCATATCTGATTTCTTCCAAGTATCATCAAATCGTTGTCAATATTAACCTATGTCAAGCAAACACACTTGTAATCGGAGAAATGCGGCGTTTTACATTACCCAGTATTACGATTGTATAACTCCGTGATCGTATGCGCAGAAATACGATCGTTTATGGACAAACAAAGCTCGTATACGGCTTTCATTTTACTCTGTGTTTCTTCGTATAAGATCATATTTCTCCATGTACGGTTTGGAGATATACGATCGTCCAAAATGTGATTGTACACGGAGAAACTCGGAAGGAGAAGAGTTGTACTTCGTTTTGACAGTAAATCAATCGCATAAGGTAATCTAGCAGCGCACCACGGGATCTGTAATGATCGCAGCAATTTTGAAGGATCAAATATTGCCGGATACAACATGAAAACCTTTATCGGTATCTGATAAGCAGAAATCTTCAACTTACGACATCATAGTGTCGGAAGCTATCTTGCCGAAGAAATCCCATCGGATCTGACAGGATTCTAGGATAGGCCTAGCCACTCTGGAGACTTCTTCTCACTTTGACGCATGCGTTACGCTATGAGATAGTCATCCATTGTTAGATTTACATCACGAGCTTCTGTGGTGCCGAGAAAACGGTCAAGAAAAGTAAGCTCACGATTATGATTTTACATGTCGATGTTAACCAGAAAACTTGCCAAGATCGTGAGAAAATGATGAGTTCACATCGAAAATATAATTGAGTGATTTTGCCTACTCTAGAAAGTTATAAAAATTGAGTCTCAATTAGGAATATAAAATATCACTGGAGTTGATCACTAAAATCATCTACTTTAGCCTCCATAATTATACAACTCGATTGATCTACACATCAGTTTGTATTATGTGATATTTTTGTATGATATGGTAACATTAATCAATATATTCATGGATGTTTTCGCCAGCAGCCTACTTTGTCGTGAGAAAAGAGGAAAAAGAGGATTTTTCTGAAAAAAGAGTGTAAAAAGACGAATTTTGAAAGAAAAGAGGAAAAGGAGGGAAAAGAGGCGGAGTGGGATGCCAGTTACAGAGGCAAAAATTTTCACATGGATTTCAGCTTTTTTCATGATAAGTGCTGAAAAGCGCTTAGAACGATAAAAATTCACAGCACTTTTCAGCCTTGTCCATGATAAGCGTTGAAAAGCACTTAGAAGAATAAAAATTTACAGCACTTTTCAGCTTTTTTTCATGATAAGTGCTGAAAAGTGCTTAGAAGGATAAGAATTCACAGTACTTTTCAGCTTTTTCCATGATAAGTGCTGGAAAGCGCTTAAATAAATAAAAATCTACGGTACTTTTCAGCACTTTTCATGATAAGCGCTGGAAAGCGCTTATCAAAGCGCATTGTAAGCTATATTAAGCGGCTTAATTAGTTGAAGCCGCTTTCAGCAGCTTAAGACCGTAGTATTTAAGCGCTTTAAAGCACTTAATTGAAGTGTAAGCTTATTTAAGCCGCTTAAAAATAGCTTACAAAGGCAAAAATTTTCACATGGGGATCGTGAGTTGAAAGACTAAGTTGTGTGAAAGTTTCATATCATAATATGAGTGAGCAAGTCATCACACCACGAGAACACATCCAACGCGATCATCGTGCAGCAACTCCAAGAAGAAGTATGTTAGATTTGCATGTATTTTAATGGAAATTTTTCAGAAAATTTAACGTTTAAAAATTATGTAGAGATTGCGTTTCTTCGCGAACCTGACAAAGCAAATGCAGTCCATGGCAAAATATCGAAAGTAAATTCTATCATTCATTGTTTGTTTTTCATTTCGAGATATTGTTCTCTAGGGTACAGAATTCGAAGCAATTATCAATAATTTTCGTCAACCTCCTGAAAAGCCCGCTATGGAAACAATCGAGAAGAGAAATTCTGTATTTATGATTAAAGTAAGCTATTTTTATTTATATTGAAGACAGCTTGTTTATAACTGTTCTCAATAGCCATTCAAATTTGATCAATCGAATCCTGATCGTGAACCAACGCCGATCTTTAGTGAAAGTGTTTATCTTGACCGATGGGATGAAAATCATGTTCGTATGCCATGTTCACGATCCTTTAAATTTGTAAGTTAAAGGATATTTTAGTCTTTTTTGTATATCGATTTCTATTGACAAAGAAAAATGGACACAGTGTATGGACGACGATTTGTCCCGAATTGGTTCATCTCAAAAAAAGATGCGATAAAAAAAAGGCTGATGTTGACGACTTAAAAGTAATGAGTTTCAATTTATACTATAATTGGAAATAAACTAATCATTACCACAGGCAGTGATTGAAAAATGTGCTGGACAAAGTTTTGATATGTATTGTCTGGAAACAGTCATTAAAAAGGTGTCTGTTTTTCTTTTAAATGTAAAAGTTAATCAATACTCATTCATAGGTTTATTCACATGATGAACGTGCTTATTTTATGTCAACTGTTTTATCTAATATTTGTGATCTTGCACTTAATGTTGATAAAATTTGTAGTCGAGTATCCATTTATTTTTTTGTCTTAATCTCATACTTGAAATATATTTTGTTTTAGCCACCACCATTGTTACGTATTGGAACAAATCTTTTAGTTACTATGTCTCAACGACAAGCTGCTTCATTATTAGCATGCGCCTTTTTCTGTTTATTTCCATTTCGTCATGATGATAAACCCAACGAAGCCTATGCAAATTTTCAAGATCCGAATTTTAAAAAGTAAAAGTACATAATTAATAGGTTTCTAATCGATAATTTACCGTTAACTTTCAAGATTATATATTCATGGACCTCCGCAAAAAATAGAAAAAGTCAGATGTATTTTACATTATTTTAAACGAATCACAGAAAAAAGTAAGTGTACCCGAGTTTGAATAATGAGTGATCGGAAAAATGTTTTTTACACAAGATGTTTGTTTACTTTTGACTCACTAGGAAATATTTTCAATGGGCTTAAAAATTTTCTCTTAACTTTTACTCAAGAATACTAAAATAAGCTTTAGAAAATAATTTTACAGGTATTTTAATGAGTTTCTCAGTAATAGAACATTTCTAAACCTATATTGAGAAATGCAAACTTCTACTCACACCTACTGTTTACGATTCGTCGAAATTGCTTTCAAAAAGGTCAAAATGAACAAACAAATTCGTGACAAATGTCGCACTCACAAAATACATCCAAACTGATTTTGTAAGTGTTTCAAAGATGACTTCACTACTCTCGAAGAAGATATCAGTTAGAAGTGGACAAGAATATTGTCTGAATGGCTTCGAATTGCCCATTATCATCTCTGTTCTAACATTTTTATTATTTAGTGCCCACTGGGGTAATTACATTCCGGCGTTATTCATTATCTGATAGTTCTTATCCGGATTGGTTACATTCAAATGCCAATATCTCTCACTTACACTTGACAACTGGTAAAAAGATAGAAGATGTTAATTGTGTTTTACAAGTAAATTGAACGATTAAGTTTTACGTATTTTCGATTCTTTTCTTTGTTAGGTTGATTTTGCTAATCAATATATTGTAGGTGTATAAAAAAAAAGAACATGGCTGGTTTTTTTCTTATTATTTAAGTATTTTTATTAAAAAAATAGGGAGGTGGCGTTTTAGGTACTGGTTGTGTACAAGAAGAGATTCGTTTTACTATCTGTCCTGAAATGCTTGTTAGTTTACTTGTTTGCGAAAAAATGGAGTCGAACGAATGTATTTTTCTTATCGGATGCGAACGATATTCATCATATGATGGTTATGCTGATTCATTTCATTTTGCAGGAAACTATAAAGATACTACACCTAAGTAAGCAATGTTTTTAAAGAAATTTATATCATTATACTCTATTATTTATAAAAGTAAGAATCACAATAAGGATAATGTTTTTGCTTGAATATTGAAAAATATCTCAATGCTGAGTTTTAGCAATTAGACGTTGCTCTTCAAACCAGTATTGTTTACTATCAAATAACAGAAGTTACAATCAAGCATGATTAATAAACTAATTAGTTTTCATAATTCTAAATATAATATTATAAACTTTCATAAGGCTATTTATCAATCTGTTTAATTTGAGGTTTTCATTGAAAGACTAAACATCTTGAATATTTCACGTATTTAGAGATAATTGGGGTCAAAAATGGTGCCATGTAGTAGCTATGGATGCTATTTATTTTCGTAATCCAACTGTGCAGTATCAGATGAAATGCGTGCGCCGTGAGTTAATTAAAGCTTACGCGAGCTTTCGTCCTCGGCCAGCAAAGAATGCATCAGAAAGTTTGTTTGGTATTGCTACTGGAAATTGGGGTTGTGGTGCATTCAACGGTAGTAAACAATTGAAAGGTAAAATTTAACAAAATATCGTATGAAATGTTGTTCGAATATTTTTGTTTTTAGCAATTATTCAACTAATGGCTGCTTCGGAAGCTGGACGTCCACTAGTTTATGCAGCTTATCTAGATGGAAATTTAGTTAACTCATTCTTTGACGTTTATCAATATTTATTAAGTGAAGAAGCAAAAGTACGACATTTATATAAATATCTTGAACTCTATTCTACTAGATCTACTCAGGAATCACTATTCGATTATATTCTTAAAACAAAAATTTCGTCACTTAAGCCGTAAATGCTATTTTTTTATACTGTTTTGTCTTCTTTAGTTTCAAAACAATTAACATACGACAGAAAAAAAATATTGATACATAATCTAGACTCACACTAGCACCTTCTTTACTTAATAACTATTACTGCTGGAAACAGCCATGTTCCTAGTGATTACTAATAGATTGCTTTCTTTGTTCTTGATAAGCATTTTGCATCTTGCTCCAGATAAAGAACAGAGGGTGAAGGTGAGTTTAGGTATAGGTGATCTGAATGGTGTATATGAGATTAGATCATTTTTATCTCATCCACATTCTGCTATGTAATAGTTGCAATAATGTTTAAAAAGCATAATTTAAGAAATCTTCAATAAAAAGTATGATAAGGCATCGATGGAATCAATTCCATCATGCTACTACAAATGGCGTACAAAAAGTCTTTGTTAATAAATTTCTTAAAAAATGGAGAATTTGAAGATATGGTGTATCAGAGGCATTCAACTGGCTTCGTTTCGTCTGAGCTTCTGTTATTCAACTATTTTAAAATAAGGATTAATTATTTACCTAGATGCAATAAATTTAACTAAGCAGCAACTGAGCAATCAGTTTGACACATGTCAATGAACACACAAGGATTATTCAAAAGTAAATTGAGCTCTCTATCGTACTCGCTAATGATGCCTTCCAACGTTTAATGTGGGTGTGGGTGTCAATACATGAAACTACATGAGAATACAAATTCTACAAATTCTAGGTTTTTTCCTAGTACATGACGGTACATGAGAGTACAGGACAGTACGACTTCTGAAAACTAAAGGCTTTTCCCCAACAGTGGAGCATATATTACAGTACATTAGAATACATGAGAGTGTATGAGAGTACCTGACGTTACAAATTCTCAAATTCTAAGTTTCGGGGTCATATTCTTTCCAGAGTACAATTTGTACTTATATTCGCGCAGCCCTCAAATGGCAACGACTTGTGAATACTGACTTTTCTAAACCCTTCCGTCTTACACCACAGCTCAACTCCAAAAATGATATTATTTGGTCCACCAGTCGACAAGTTGCTGATAAACATGGTGGTTATTATGGTCGTAAAAAATTTGCTCCTGGTGTTATGCTTTGGGGTGGCATAAGTTGGAATGGTTTAATTCCACGAGAGGCACCAGTGCTTATCGATGAGTTTTTGGAAGGATATCAATGGTCAAAACGTGCCAAGAAAACAATGAATGGTACCCGATATGCTGATCTCATTAGAACTATTGCTTATCCAGCTATTATGCAACAATATTGAAATCAGATACCAATCTTCCAAGATGATGCTGCACGTATTCATCGCACCCAAGCGGTGCTTCAACACATCGATGCCTTATTCAATGAAAGAATTCCTGTCGATGTTCAAAGCCCTAAATTTAATGATGTATGGGCTATAGAAACAGTGTGGGGCATTATACGTGAAAAACTACTTGATGTGAAATATTCAACTAACAATCAACTGAAATCACAAATCAAAAAAATTTGGCAATCAATTTCGTCCCAGCAATACCAATCTATATTCTCATCAATGGTTAGACGAACTTCTCTGTTAACTAAAAATGACGGGCAACGCCTAACTCACGATGATTATCGATGTTTATAGTTTTTGAAATAAAAATAGTTTTGTATTTGAAATGCACTTGTTCATAAAAAAGACGTTAAAAGACAATTGGGGGGGGGGGGGGGGGGGTAAGTTTTTTTTGGACCACCCTGTAAGTTACAAACAAATCAAAGCGAATTACATTTTGTCTGTACTTCAGCCAGGCATGTTCGGTATAATTGCAGATAAGGATGACTGTCAGGAAGTGAATTTTGTCCAATGTCAACGGTATGTTCGTAAAAGGAAAGTGCTTTTGAGAACTCTCCCATGTTGCAATAAATCAAACCGATAATATTGTACATGCTAGCCAAATCTGGATGATTTGGTGGGAGAGATGTTAGATTGATTTCAAGTGACTTTTGATAGAACTCGAGTGCTTTCGAGTACTCTCCTATGTTGAAATGAACCGATGCGATGTTGTTGTAGGTAATAGCCAAATGTGGATGATCCGAAGGGAGCGATTCTTGTTTGAGTTGAAGGTCTTTTTGATGAAATTCGAGTGCTTTGGAGAATTCTCCCATGTTATAATATACCAAACCGATATGGCCATAGAGATTAGCCAAAGTTGGATGATTCTGAGGGAGAAGTTTTTGCCGAATTTCAAGTGATTTTTGATAGAATTCGAGTGCTTTTGAATATGTTTGCATGTGTTGGTATACTTCACCGATGTTGCCATAGATAGAAGCAAAATCTGAATGATTTGGAGGAAGATAGATTAGGCTGATTTCAAGTGACTTTTGATAAAACTCAAGTGCCTTCGAATATTCTCCCATGTTATCGTGCACAAGGCCGATGTTGCTGTAGAGAAGAGAAAAATTTGGATGATTCGACGGGAGAGATTTTTCTAGAATTTCTAGTGATTTTTGATAGGATTCGACTGCTTTCGAATATTCTTGCATACGATGATACACTTGAGCGATGTTGATATAGACAGTAGCCAGCTCTGCATGATTTGGTGAGAGAGATGTTAGGCTGATTTCAAGTGATTTTTGATAGAATTCGAGTGCTTTCGAGTATTCTCCTATGCCGAAATGTGCCAGACCGATATTGTTATAGGTAATAGCCAAATGTGGATGATTCGAAGGAACAGATATTTTTTTGATGTCAAGATCCTTTTTATAGAACTCAAATGCTTTTGAGAATTCTTTCATATTACAATGCATCAAACCGATGTTGGTATAGAGAATAGCCAAATCTGGATGATTCTCAGGAAGAGATTTTTGTCGAATTTCAAGTGATTTTTGATAGAATTCGAGCGCTTTAGGATATTCTTGTATGCGATGATACACTTGAGCAATATTGTTATAGATACTAGCCATATCTGGATGATTTGGTGGAAGATATGTTGGACTAATTTCAAGTGAGTTTTGGTAAAACTCGAGTGCTTTCCAAATATCTCCTAAGTGTAAATACACCGCACCAATGTTGTTATAAGTTTCAGCTAATTTGGGTTGATTTGAAGAAATAGATGTTTGTTGGATGTCAAGTGATTTTTGATAAAATTCGAGTGCTTTTGCGTATTCACCCATGTTGTCATGTATTAAACCGATACCATTGTAAGTAGCAGCCAAATCCGGATGATTTGAAGGGAGACATTTTTCTCGAATTTCAAGTGATTTTTGATAGAACTCGAGTGCTTCTGTATAATTTCCTTTGTGACATTTAATCTCTCCAAGATAGTAAAAACGAGAAGCATGTACTGTCTCATTGTCCTTGGGTGTCTCATAGGATAGTATCTTGTAGACTTCTTCAGCGCTATCGAAGTTTCCCATTTTGATTAGCAATTGACCCAATCGATCCAACTTTGTTGTGCCTAATGTCTCTTGTCTCATGTGTTCAGTGAGTCGTTTTAGCTCTTGGTCATCGTCGTTTGTGAATGTAAGTTCTACTCGCCATACGCGATCTGCAATTTGTTTGATTTGACTAATTCGAAAAATGGTATGCATAGAAAATAAAATTTCTTCCTCATTCTGAATGGCACTAACCGATGCAATTGAAGCGAATGGAATTGATTGAATGGATGGATCAACAGTAATTTGAAAGAGAACACCCACTAATCCTGGTTTGTGTAATGATTTCTGAGCAAATTGTAATGAAACTGTTTCATTGAGACTTGTGGATAAAAATGTATTAAAAGCCAATAGACCACCTTCCTTTTGTTTAATCTCATTAAAATCATCATTCGGCATACTTTTACCTCGATAAACAGTGAAGAGACCTTGATCTTTCATTTGCGAATGTAGTTGTCCAATATGTTGATGAACATCACGTAAGAAAAAGCCCATCTTAATAATAACTTCTACATCTTGTATACGAAGTGCTCGATTAAGCATTTGATAAGTAAAACATTCGCGAGTATACCACCAGATAGGTGTGTGATCGTTATAATTTTGTTCAAAATCATCGATTATTTGTAATTCATAGAAATTATGAGAGTATTGTTTACGACAAAATTCACAAAGTTCTTTCTTTACCTTATTATCATATTCCATTTCGAGAAGCAATTTTTTAAGCAATTGTGTATACATAAATGATGGTTCAAGACGATCCAAATTTTTAGTTGTAACACTAATTGCGACAGAATCACGATCACATTGTTGAGTATCTTGCTTGAGTGTAATACAAATTAGCTCGATCTGAGTAAAAATACCTTTTATTTTTGTCCATTCTTTTGTCAATTGTTCATATTTTGATTTGTTTTCACAAAATACATAAATTGAATCAAGTTGTGATAGATCATGTATTTGCGGTACTATTGTTTGGCTAAATGAACCGGATACAATCATGAATACTTTTTCATCTTTGATTTGAGTGAGAAAATTGATACATTGATCAGAATCAATAAATGTATTGATTGTATTGACGATTCGTCGAAGTTGAGTAAGTGAATGTTTAAAATCTTCATTGGACTCATTGATATTCGAATCTAACCAGAGAAGTACGAAATTTTGAACAATGCGGATTCGTGATGACCTTGTAGAATTGTTATTGTTGCTTGTTGGTGTTATAACTAAACTTTCAGAAGAGATTGTCGTTTGTTTAGCATTATTGATCGAATTAGATGAAATGCTTGGTTTGATACATTTTGGAGTACATTGCCCCATTCTATAGTGATCAATAGTTGTATTTCACGTGTAGCAATGTGACGTTAATTATATTAATAAATACTATTTGAATCAATGTTACCTTTTAATGACGTGTAGTCAGATTATATATATTTTTTCTCCACAGATATGATTAATACGCTCCCTGATAAAATAGGCATAATTTGATAACTGAAAATGATAGGCTGAAAGGTATGATGGAAAAAGGTAGAAAAGAAAAATATCGAAAAGAAAAATAATACAAATATAGATGAATATAAATGCTAAAACCGAGAGTATATTGAAGTACAAATCTCGGCAACCACACCTTCAATCCTGCATGTTCATGTTCACGTCATATTCTCGTTTTCGACATTTTTCCTTTCTGTCTTTTTCCATCCATTCGACTGAAACATTCACAGAAAATCAAGTTAATTTTTCTTGTTCAGAATCTACTAAAAACTTTCGTTGTCGTTGCAGTATTCTCAAGATATTTACAAAACAAACGCAGATGTGACGCCATCTATGGCATATTTTGGTTTAGATCTCAAGAATGCTGCCAGGTTAAAGAAAGATTTTCGCAGATTCTGAATAAGAAAAATTAACTTGATTTTCTGTGAATGTTTCAGCCAACCATTTTCAGTTATCAATTTATGCCCATTTTGTCGGCGAACGTACCATGTGCAGGCAAAAATGTTCGTATAATCACCCAGGAGAATGCAAGAGAAAAAAATATTTTATACCTCACGATTTTATTTTCTGTTGTCATTTTTGTTATCTGTTCCCTGGACTGAAAGAACAGGGTTTAAAAACGGAAATTCACCTGTGTCTGTCTGTCTGTCTGTAAAACTTGGTATAAATGACCACTTTCATGGTACAAAGTACCATTTGCGCGGTACAAGTGACCATTTTTGTGGTACAAGCGATCACATTTTCATGATACAAACGATCGTTCTGATGAGACAAATGGCGACAGCTTTGGTACTACTCATGGTTATTTAGACCAATATTTTGGTCATTAGAACTACTTTCTTGGTTATTTACACCATTGTATCGTGCACTCATGCCATCTCTATGGTCAGTGACCATAGAGATGGCACGAGTGCGTTAATGCTAAATATGGTCGGTAACTCGGTCGAAATGAGGATAAATATGAAAGAAATGACTGTAACTACGGTCTGCGTCACGAAAGATATAATCAAAAATCCTTAAAGACACTCTGAATGTCCGCAAATGCGACAAACTTGACCGTTGATTTATCAAAGATATGACTCAAAAGCGCAAAAATATGCTCAAAATGTTCACAATAATGGTTCTTGCAGTCAAAGATGTTACTTGAGTGACCACACACAACGTTCAAAACACTATATATATATGATGATGTTGTCTATATTTGTCGTCACATGTACCATTTTTGTGGCCACTGTTTCTGTGTATTTGAGAAATTTTCGCACTTTATTGCTCGTTTTGAAACAGCCCTATAGTCCTTCAGATTTTATTTGTGATCATCTGAACCATAGTTAACATGTGGTTACTAGATCATTGAGACAGACGAATGTAGATGCACATCTGTTTTCAGACTACTAAGTGAGTCTAGGGTTAAACTAATCGACTGTTGATTAGCGTTACTTGTTATTCAAGGTTGTTCGTTATTTCTATTGACAGTAATGAACAGGATGAAGGGTCGGGCGAAGATGAGGGTGCATACTCGATTCTCCTCACCAGGACTCGAAATGGGCCACACTTTTGTGGCCCGGAAACTATTGAGACCCGCCCCGCCCGACTCGGCCCGGACTCAAATGAAACTTGTTTTATACATTTGTTTCCTCAATAAAACTTATACATTACTACAGTGACTGTTTATGTACTGAGGAGCAAATACCCAGCCTTATTCTGAGGTTAATTAGCTTAGACTCTGGAACTAAAAAAAAATTAATATGCAAGAAATTGAGTTGCTTCTTAAGTAAAACAAACAAAAATATTCAAGCTTTCAGAATTCCATAATGCTCATGCTACATAGTAAGATATCCTCTATGGTACTATGTTTTAAATGAGTTACACTTGTAGAAAATTCACTGCATTTCTCAGTGAAGATATTTCTTTTTCTATTTCAACCATACCGTGAGCTAGCTAGTGGTGAAAAGTAATTTGTAAACAAGAAAAAACTTATTGATAACTAAATTTTGACTCGTTTAGAACTTTTCGACCCGCTAATAGACTATGTTCTACTGCGCTCTAACTTAGAACATCAATAATATCGTGAGATCAATTTTTCATAGAGCCCTGCACAAAATCCATAGAACTGCCCTTGTTTTCCAGAAAAAGGTAAATTTGCTATGAATTTACTACTTAATCAAAAGTGAAGGATTAGATAAAGTGTTATTTAAAGCTCCTATGCTCGGTAGTGGCTTATTTTCGGCGCATTTTTCTGTGAATCATTTCCGCTCATCAGTTAACACCATTTTTGTAACGGAGAACTTCGCTAGTAGACGAGAAATATGCCTGGAATAGGCTATTATTTGAGTGGATTATGTTAGTCATATCTCCCAGAGGCTACAAAAATAAAAAAGTCACGAGTTTTACATCAAAAACACGTAAAACACTGCATTGTTGGTGATGAAACGGACATTAGTCTTGACACACTTCAAATTCATCGATTGCAAGCACGATTTTAATGAAAGTAATGCAACGACCGTGATTTTGAATCAAGATAACAGATTTTGATTGATGAAAATGGTCGTTTTAATCAATAAACTTGGAAATACATCAAAATGAGTTTTCGTTTCATCATTCAAAATGGGATTTATTTATTTTCCAAGTCACTAGATATAAGCTTAGATACTTTTTCTATCATAAAACATTCATGATAATTTCGAGTTCTTAAAATGAGCATATAATGTACTAAAACGTTAATAAAATCAATAAAAGTGTCGGGCCAGGCGGCCCATTTCAAGCCTTGCTAGCTGTTCCTCTTATTCACTAGCGTCGATCGAAAGAGAGAAATAGAGAGATAGTCAGAGAGAGAAAGAATAAAAGAGTTAGACAGGAAGTGAAAGAAAAGAAATATTCATAGGCACGATAAGTCAGTCTATTGAACGTTAATAGTTATATTCCAGGTCTTTTGAGAAGTGTATGCTATCTTATGACTATTTCTTGCAAGATGAAAACGTGTTTCTTTTACTCACGACACTGGAAAATTGTTTATGCACCTTCCTCATACTTGAATTTAAATGTTAGAATAAGACATTCTATTTTAATCTCTTGCCATTTCCAAGATCTGGTCGATTTTTAGATACTTTTCTACATTTTTGAATTTCTAAATCTGTTACGACGTTTCTGAATTGAAAAGCTTATAAGTGAATTTTATGAACCAATTGTTTTGGAATAAATTTCCAAAAAACATGCGCTTCGTTCTTTCTTTGTTTTAATCTCAAATATCGCATCTATATCCAATAAGCTAACGACGGTAGAATTAAGGCACGATCTTCCTACAGTAGCTGAGAACTAGAATACGATCGTTATAGAGCAAGTTATCAAAAGTGACCTCTGTAAAGAACTCGCTTGCTGTGTTGAAAACACTCATAAGCTTTTTTAAGATTACAGACCTGATCTTTTGAACAGAAGTAATCTCCACATAGGAGTACGATAATCAGATTGTTGAGTAAAGATTTAGAGTAGATTATATATGGTAATGAGATATATGCCTTTGAGAAAACTAGTAAAACTATTGAAGTATGATGAACTATTTTATATTCTGACTTTCTAAACTTAGGATGAAGCCACATTCCACAGTCGTGCTAGAGTCACAGAAGAGCCGCATAGAAATCATGTGAGCTAACTATAAGTTACATAGAATCACACAAATTCTGAGTCCAGTTTTTCCATTGACTCAAGCTTTTTATACAATCAGATTTATTCGTATCGGTCGACCAAACTGTTTAACCTGGCCATGTTGAGATCTGTCACGACAAAATATCCAATCAGCTCTACCTACGTAGAGATTTCTTCGATTGAACGCAACTTGCCTTGACACTAATTATGAGTTGGAGACATTGATTGATAAAACGTTACATAGAATTTTATCATTAATAACAAGAAAAGCCTGATATGTCTTTAGATGAGCATTTATTTTAATCAATGAGAGAAGGATTAATGATGATGGATCTTTTCTCTCTTGTATTTCTCGGCTGAATTCGATATATTTATCTGGTATGCACGACGGAGATTCCAAAAAAGACAAAGTGATGGTTTCTAAAGTATCTGTTCGGAAATCTGAATATACTTTTTTGTTTTGGCTTATTATTGAGTCAGATCTACTAAAATCGACAAAGGAAGATGTAAAGACAGCATGAAAAGTCACTATCAGTTAGCAACATTATCTTCTAATTATAAATAAGAATAGCTCTTCAAATAATTTTCTAATGTACGGGTAGATATTTCCTATTTGACGTGCCATTGCGACGTGTTTAAAGCTCTTGAAATGTTTTAATCTCAGATTCTCTGGTATGATGGAAATTCTACCGATTTCGAACTCATTTTACAGTGCACTGAAAAACTCATGATGCTGTATCACATTGTCTATTGAGTTCACTGTGGTTTCTGACCTTTACTAACCATGAACAACTGCTAATTTAGTTTATCGATATTGAAATTAAGATCAGACAATGCCACCAGCGGCCAAAGTTAATCATAATAATTTTGGATTTTTCGAGATTTTTTGAGATTTAAAATCCGAAAAAATCCGCTTTTCCCCCCTTGGGTATATTCCAATTATTACATGACCGCAAGGCATCGTCAGGCAATCGAAGTTTGTTCGACGATGTTTTGAACGTCTCTTCATTTCATTTTTCTCCATTCGCCATTTTTTGTTTCGACGTTTTATTTTTTCGTCAATCTGCTTTTCGCCATTTTTACCTTTCGACATTTCCACTTTGACATTGTTTTTTTCGACAACCTGCTTTTCTACATTCTGCGTTTCGACATTTAACCACTTATTCCTGTCTTTGATATTATAATAGACA